ACAAAATAACCCAAAATTTTAAACTTTTTAGGATGGGTAGGACTTTGGACACGTCTCCAAGAAAATGTAGAGAGATACAAACGTTGTTACTGCACTCCACACATTCCCAGAGAGACATAGCAGCTATTGCTGGGGTTTCAAAGTCTGTCGTCAATCGAATAAAAATAAAAATTGATAATAAAAAGCCTCTTGAAGCAAATCGTGCTGGCAAATATGGCAGGCAAAGGATTACAACAGCTCGTACCGATCGAAAAATCAGGAACATCTGCCTCGAAAATCGTAAAAAGAGCGTTGCTCGTTAACAACTATGATAAACGAAGAGAGCGTAAAGATTTCAGAGAGGACAATGCGGCGACAAAGGCGGTTGGTCGAAGAGAATCTGATGGGACGGCGGCCTGCCAAACAACCACGCCCATTGGAGTCGTTTCTTTTCATACTATCGGTTGATAGTATGAAAAAGAAACGACTCCAATGGGCTAGGCAACATCGATATATGACTATTGCAGACTGGAGTCGAGTAAGTGTAACTTTTTTGTATAATGCAATTGGTCAAAGCCAAAGGCATAGGGCGCCTATACATCGTGGAAGGGACTATGAAACAAGACCAATACAAGCGAGTACTAGAAACGCGATTACTGCCGCAGGTCACTGAATGGTTCCCCGATGATGACGAATACATTTTTATGTATGACTCAGCACCGTGCCACAAAGCTAGAAGTGTAACTGCATTTTTGGCTGAAAAAAATGTCTCTGTTTTGCATTGGCCAGGGAATTCACTACACATGAATCCAATAGAAAACATGTGGGAACTCACCAAACGGGCGATCGCGAAAGAAGTGATTACCACTAAGCGACAATTCATTGGAACTCTCATCAGAGAATAGCATCACAACTCCAAACTCCAGGAAAATGCAAAAAAAATGTATTGAGAGCATGCCCCGACGCATAGAAGCTCTTATTACAGTAAAGGGTGGCATCACTAAATATTAAAAAATATTTTATTTATTTTATTTTATATTTTTTTGTAGTTTGTATGATCCTTATAGCATACAGATACAAAGAAAAAATATAAAGGAGACCTACAACTAATCGTTTGTTACAGAAATCCAATTAAACTAGGAAATTCAAAAATTTCGATACTGTCCCTAATAATTTGACCACCTACTGTATTTTAATGTCATCACGTAAAATACCTGTCTGTTATGTGACTGTTATGTTATCTGTACTTTTAATTTGCCTGATTTATAAATTATGTGAATATAAAACTTGTTATTATTTGTATTGAAAACGAAAGTTATACTGACTAAGTATATAACTTTTATCGAATGGGTTCGATACCCCACAGTAACATGTAAATCTAAAAGAAATACACAACTACTCGTATTTTATTAATATTATCGTACATGCATAGAACATAGTATTTTCCACTATATTTAGATTAACACTTCACAGTAATTTCATTGTCTTCAAAATTCAGATGAGAACGAGTTTTTCTCAAAACTAGATATATTTGTGTTGATTGGTTCCGTTTAGCGTAATTAGGTCATGTGGGCTGACAGTGACAACACTGCTCAAATAAGCAGCTACAGCGCAAAAGGTTAGATACTATTTTTTTCGACACTTTTGTAGCTTTAGCAGCCTGTCTAACTAAATACTATTATTATATTTATTATTATTATATTATATACTATTATTATATTCAACTTATATTAATTATAGTCCAACTGCTCGAAAATAAAATAAAATAAAATTTAAAAACAGTGCACCTAGTCATACATTGCAGCACCACCCTAAGGTAGACTGGGAAAAAATTCCCGTCGCATTAAGTTCACAACCATTTTACAATTCTCATTTGTGCATACAGCATTAAAATAAAATAAAATAAATAAAAGAACTAGAATTTTATTATTATAAAGATATCAATAATTTAAGCATTTAAGTTTATGATGGTATCAAGTGAAATTTGGAGCTCAAGTAAAGAGAAATGATTTGATTGTCATGATTCCTCGAATTTCACAAAATCTCCATCGATTTATCATTAACACAAAAGTATTGTGACGCAATAACAAAAGAATGATAAATGAGTTCAAATTTCTCTTTCCTTGTCCAGAATATACAAGAGTACTTGTAATTCATAGCTTTAAGATACGAAAGATACAAAATTGTACCTAAAATGTTGTACACAAATTTAAAATTTTTTTTAAAGAAATGCGTATGAACTTGAGTTTAGCTGTATAAATTCTACGCCTTTTCTATTCTATTATGAGCAAGATCTTAAGTTACTACTAACCATTGCACAAACAAAGCTTTAACTTTTATACTTGCAATGTAAGCAGTACATAAGTATGATGTTTTATTAATTTTCTCTACTCACTACGCTGACTCATTTCCAGATTTCCATTTCCATAATAATCATTAGTTAAAACACTTATTGAAACTTATATGTTCGTTTTTGTGTATTTGCGAGTAGATATATTGTACATACTATTGTGTGTAATATACCAGCTGTTTGTATATTAAAAATGCTCAAATGAATAAATGTAAATTTATATAAATGAGTGTTCAGGGCAGACTCGCAATAGTAGCATTTCTTAGTGCAAGTTTACGGCTCATAATTTTCTTCAACTAATAGTCACACGGTTCTTTTTACTTTGTAGCACATACTTGTAATAGGCAATTACCATCCTTTGAAAATCTGCTATGAAACTTTTAGTCTTCCCGATACTAACTACTTATAACAAACTTTTAAAATCTTTTTGAGCCTCTGTAAAATACAGTCGACGGATTACAAAACGAAATTTTGTTTGAATTTCATATTTAATTGGATCTTTTTTCATCCTTTTTAATTATATAATATAAGTTTTAAGCATTCACACATAACTTCATATTCATATAAAGGTTTTTATATTTGGTAAAATTATTGCTCTCTTTTAACTGAGATAGACCGTACCCACGGCCAGTGCAACAAGTAAAATTATTATTATAAACAAACGGGTTCTGTGGTTTAAAGGAATAAAACCACAATTCATTTACTATATGTCATTTACTCGTATTAGTCTGCAATTCAGCAGAGCATTCGAATTTCAACGATCCGAAATACTTTGCCGAATTCCATTTTATTTATTTATTCAAAAGTTTTATAAAATGTTCACTAGCACCATACTTTAAAATGCGAACCAAAAATGTATTTGTTAATCAGTTTTCGACCCACCTCTTTTTCATAAATCCAATACACAAAATAAACATTCTTCTACATTCATAAAAAAGGCAATATTTTCCAAATGTCAGTCGTAATTCCATATAATTAATGTTCGAGTTTTTATTAAAAACGAAGCGAATCATAACAATTAATGATTATTTAATGTAATAAAAAATCATGGGGCTTAGGCGGGAAATGGAATTAGGTATGCTAATGAAAATAGATTGAACGCTTTGTTCGTAGTAGTTTCGTATACCGATGTAAACATCATGTTTGAATAGTCCTGCCTGTTGTAGGGCGAAGCTTAATTAAATCGTGTACGTTGTTTAGTAGGACTGAAACGTCAACGGCTAATAATAATCCTTGAATATATCTCTTTAATATATATATATATATCTCCTATTAAGATTCTAAGTTGCAGTAAAGCTAAGTCTATTTTAGGGACGTTATCTTTTGATATAGTTTATCCTATGAAGTTGGAGATTTTAAAAAACAGTCAGAAACCGTACTCATCGGACCTTGACCCAACATACTCCCACTTTTTTCAAAATTTAGGCAATTTTTTATGTGAGAAAATATTCAACAAGCGAGAGGCAGTACAAAACGCTTTCGCTAACTTCGTCGCCTCCCGTCCAGTAGACTTCTACAGTAAAGGGATAAACAAACGACCATTAAAATAGCAAATTTTGTTAGATAATTTGGGCCAGTACTTTAATTAGCTAATATAAAAGATAACCAAATATTCATAGGTAAAGACCTATTATTATTATTGTTATTATTATTCTCATAATCAATATTATATCACATAATCAACAGCCTTTAATAGTCCACTGCTGGACAAAGGCCTTTTCTTAGAAAAGAGGTTTTAGCCTTCTATGCCACGCTGGCCAGACGGGTCGGTACAGGGTTTGTGTCAAGTTTTCCTTCTTTTTGCAATGCTGGTGTCCTGCGTTGTTTTGCGCCTTTAGTCGGCTCTTACGACACCCACGGGATGAATTGGGGTAGTGATATTCCGTATTCTTAAATATACATGAAAATTACATTTTTAAACACATATATAAGTCATACAAAAATTTACTTCTATAAATCTTTTTTTTCAAATCTATAACTTCATAGGTGGAACTTAGATGAAACTGTTTTTACTGCAAGGTGTAAATTAAGTTACTCTATCTATCTATTGTACCTTATTGCGTACGCGGCCCTTCATATGAAAATGATGTATGTCGTCAATTTATCTGCCATCGGTATCGATCAATCTGGAACCTTATTAGCTGACAAAGATGGTATTGATAAATTGGTGTTCCCTGGTTCGCGCGTGTCAACATCGATGTAACAACATATTGATAGGCTAGAGCTTGCTACCTTAGCATATGAAGCGTGCTTTACCTTATATTAGAAATAATCATTCCTTTGTTAGGGTTCCGTACCCGAAGGGTAAAAGGGGACCCTATTACTAAGACTCAGTTGCCCTTTCGTCGTCTGTCTGTCCGTCTGTCACCAGGCTGTATCTAATGAACCGTAATAGTTAGACAGTTTATATTTGCACTGATAATGTATTTCTGTTGCAGCTACAATAAAAATACTAAAAACAGAATAAAATAAATATTTAAGTGGGATGCCCTCCCATACAAAAGACATGATTTTTTGCCGTTTTTATAGATAATGGTACGGTCCGTATCGCATTTGGCCGGTTTTTTCTTTCTAACGATGTAACAAACTCACTACAGGGACTACCTCCTCCTTACAAAGACAAACCTAATTTACTTTTCTTTTTTTCATAAAGTGAACAAAGGTATATTACCTTTTTCACTGCATGTCGGCACACAGTCGCGCACGGTCGTCAGCTCGCTCACATATTTCTGTAACAAAAACAAAACAATATAAACAAAACACGCGCTAAAAGATATAATTAAGCGGCATACCATGTTTAAAGGCAAACAAACCTTATTTACAAAATATTAGACTTTTTTTCAGCGGTACATTCTCATTCGGAACACGAAAATGCAAATTTTGTAAATAGAATAAAACCAAATAATGTGTACTTTCCGGCCGGTATTCAAAAGAGGTCAACAGTTTCAACAACAATAATACAAATGAAATAATATTGCTGGAATAATTTTTCTTGTTTAAAATGGTGCAAAAATATACGCACACTACAAAATAATTAATATTTATTAGGTATGTAAGTTTATTATGTTTCTAAATTGTGTGTTGCAAATCGCTCAAGCTGTCATCTACAATTTGGGTCACTTACTTTTTCTGTAAGGGTCTCTGATTAACATACGCTAAAGGGTCTAACGGAGTGGGATTCTCAAGAGCGGTATGGCTCTGTCGAACCAATTCATACAAGGACTGAAACAATCTGTGAATAAAACCTAACTGAAATAAAATAACTGTCTTCGTGTTAAATAGCATACTACAAGTAAACACAGAGCTGCTATTAAAATTACTTTTAAGAAAGTACCACGAACCGTAATGCGCCTACATGTAATTTTAATTGTAATAAACTGTTCTTCATAGAGTTAAGTAGTTACTTAAACTTATAAGTTTAAGTTTGCACCGTATTCCACAAACGCACAAAGTTTACGTTATTGTTAAAAACCTGTTGATTTTTTTTTGTTTAGTTTAATGAATTCAAATGCAAGCCTATCAATTCAAATTCTGATAAAACGATGATGATAAATGTTAATGAATAGAATAATATATTATCCTTAACAGATATTCTGCTGATATTTATATTAATTATATTCTAATGACAGTGGTTTAGTATGAGCTGGTAAGAACAGATGGCGTTAACGATCTATGGAAATGTTAGGGTAGTACTAAAATCTTTGGTAAACGCGTACGGTATAATTACTACTAATGGAGGTTTTCTTTCGATTTAAACTCTTAGTTTATAGACAAAATTGTAGCTGTATAACGGAAATGAAGGTATAACGTCATATGCAACTCAAATATATATTATTATAATTACAGTACAGTACATCTAAAGATTGCCTGTAAAAGATCGCAGCCTGTGGTAAGGCCGCCGATTGTACGAGTAAGTACTACTGTTGTTATTTTTGTATTCTACATCCTATGTCCTACTCATGGTGTGCAATAAAGAGAACCCTATTTATCTATTAAGGTAATCAAAAATTTAAGATTCCAATTTTTTAACAAACATCATCAACAGCCTTTAACAGTCCACTGCTGGGCATAGGCCTCTCCTTATACATCAAAAAGTACATATACATCAAAAAACGGTTACACATTACTCACACACTTCAAGTTCTACCCGCGGCTTCGCTCTACTTAGGTACTTTTTGGTACAACCTTCTTTATTTTTTCGAAATAGGTAGCTTTTTAGGTTCATCTGTAGTCTCGTGACAACTTGTGTACATTATTTCGTAATGATCGATTAGGTTATTGAATAAAAACGTTAAATTCACTCCCCCTCTCCTCGCCGAGAAATGGGAGATTTGGGCTCCGATTGCCACCGGTAGGTAGGATAGGTTTATGTTAGAAGTGACATATTGTCATGTCACATATTTTACCATTACCAATAGTTTTTTTTTTCTTGACAGTATTTTGTTTAGGGTCTGCAGCATTACGTGAGTGTAGAGGGAAGTGATTGTTTAGCGAAGGACAGGACCGGTTATTGTGCAAAGCCTTGAGGGAGGCCAGTGTCCAGCAGTGAACGTCTTTCCACTGAGAATGATACCAGTAAAGTTAAAAAGTACAAATAGAATTTAATCATTGTAGGTTCAAATATAACAATAGAACGTTATTCTCTTGCCGACCATTAACTTTGCAAAACTCAATTTGGTGTTTAATAAGCTGTGAATAAAAAATCTCTGAAGGCCTCTTTCGCTGAAATTTTGATTTAGTTGCACTTAATAAGATTTACATTTTAATGAAGTTGTATTTTCTCTGGAGGGTACTTTAATAAGGTCAACACCTTCCTAAAGAAGGTAATTCTAGAAATATTAATACCGTATGAAACAAGTACTTTGACTTAGTCAACGGAATAACTAAAAATGGTTTGTCATTGCGTTGTAGTGAGTGCTATGGGTCATCAATCATCATCATCAACAGCCTTTAATAGTCCACTGCTGGACATAAGCCTCTCCTGAGAAAGGAGTGCTATGGGTATTCCAGCTAAATCCCTTTATAACGTGCTTAAAGACCTTGAAATGCCAAGAACTTGCAAGGCTCGTATCAAATATGTTTAGGTAGAGTAGTACTCCCTAAACCTATACCTGGGTCGCAAGTCCCAGGCGCTGTCGAATTCGTGAAGTGAATCAATGGAACGCTAAGTCGTTGCCCAGGTACGTTGCAACTTATTTTAATGTGATGCATAATTGCTATCATAATTTTACTTGATTGAACCGCCATCTCTTTGATATATATTATAAATAAGTAGAGGCTATAGCAGAAAACGCAGAACTTGGATGGATTAGTTTATCTAGTTTTCCTCTACACTACAAACGGGAGCTGAAACACAGCACACAGCACACAGCAGCAACGTGTTAAGTAGTAAAGAGTCATTCTTTACTACTTAACACGTTGCTGTTATGACAAGGATAGGGAATAAAACCTCATGTAGGCTACAACGAAGAAACTTTCTGTAAATACTAGGATAGTTTTACTGTCAACGAGTTTATAATACCACTCAGTGCCGGTACAAAATTAAAGTCTGATATAGAACCCAAAATTAAACGAAACTTTATAATAAACTAGATAACCATAAGCTACCTGAAGAAGACTGTTCAGTTTAGTGATATTAAACCACTTTATTTCATCTAACTGCTAACCTAAACACTGTAAGCGTAAGTGCCTAATTTTATTAAGTTAATTTTTGTCATAAAACTTATCAGCGGCCTGCTTGGTGGCCTTTATATATATATAGGTATAATAAAAAGATAGGTCTAGCCTAGTATGTCACTTTGCTGACATTTTTTTTGTTACGAATTTACGAAGTATCGCTCAATGTAATATCAGTTACACTTGTTTTTATAGCGACCGATACGACAATGTGGGTGTCATCAATTTGATATATATATGGCAGAATAGCTATAAATCAGACATTTTGATTTGAATTCCACTTTTATATCTTGTGGAAACGTTCACGGGTTATCACTCATGGATGGACTTAGGCCAACAGTATTATTTTTAATAATTTTTGTATTACAACATAGTATGCTCAACTACCATACGGAAAAAAATTACAAACGTTATTAAACAGTGGTACTGAATGAACAACCAGTCCATGAATCACCAGTCTAAAAGTAGCCACTCTTTGTAAATCTTCCATAAAAATATTGTAAATTTAATTCAGCTCAGTTTGTCCAAAATTTACGTGTTAAAAATCACATCTTTATGAATTAAAACACTTAAATCAAAATTGATTGTTATCAGTTTATTAAGAAATTATTGTTCTAGTACTGAGTCATAAATCAAAGTTCAGCCATATCGTGGTAGACTTAAATAATAATAATAATAAATCCTTTATTGGAGTAACTAAAACTCAAAGATTTTAGTAACAATTTGAACTTACAGATATATTAGTACATTTTATAAATGAGTCTATCATTGCCTCGCTGTAACAGGCGCGACTGAAATCCCGATGCAATGAGTCATATATACAGATTCTAGTCTACTCGCAATCATGTTCAATATGCTATTGGAGCTGACCCACACATTGCGCACCAAGGATGCGCACCGTTTTCGCATGACGGTATAGAAACAGTCAACGTGAGATTCTGCAAACATCCCTGATGCGCTGCAGAAGCGAGGTAACCCCACCAGCACCCTGAGCGCGTTATATTACATTATATGATTTCTGAGTAAAATGTGCCCACAGGTTACACGTATAAAAGGAGGTACAGTAAGCACGAAATAATATATCTTTTGTTTCTCTCGAGGCACGCGCAAACCTGCGGGCGATCATATTAGCTCTCACAGACAACGCCCTCCGCTCGCTCTCGATGACATCATCGTCCCCGAGAGTGTCAGTAAGTACGTAGCCTAGATATTTAAAGTGCTGTACCCTTGATAATGTCAAGTTATTTAATTGAACTTAAAAATGAAATTAAAAAAAAAACATGCATGCGACTGAGCGTCTCTATGAATATATACATAAACATTAAAGAAGGTGGGCAAGGACAACACTCCGTGTCTAAAGCCACAATCCAAGCCATAGCTTTTCGACATAGCTCTAGCTCATCTTACGTTATTGACCTAGTTTCCATACCAATATTTAATCAATTTAATAATTTTGCTATTATAGTGGCAAGCAATATGGGCCTATAGTTGCCACTTTTGCCCACATCACCAATCTTGTTTTAGACAATTGATACTACGATGGTTTTGCTAAGACCATCGTAACTGGGAGACTTGCCTCTAGACATACTACATATTATCCGTTCAATACTTGAGGCAGTGGGTTGAGTTCCCAGCTTCACATGGCTTTCAGCACTAAGGATCGACGTTGACGGTCCTAATGGTGACTTAACTTTAAAAGTTTCAACAAAACGATTAGCAATTTGAACAGCATCGTTCTCACCATCGACGCTCACGGGGATACCTGCCTTCATTTTCAGTTCATTTGTTTGTCTCCAAAATGACCACATTTTTTGAAACATTTGCTGCTAGCATATCCATTTTGATTTGGGTCTCGTGGTCCTGACACCATTTTAAACGAGATTTAAAACTCCTCCTAGCTTCTCTCATATCTTCTAACACGCGGCCAAATGTAGGCTTATTATTCCATAATAAAAAATTTAGCTTGGCATCCATATGAGCGACCCTTACATGCTTATTCCATCCCACCCTTTTTTTGATAGCTTTACTGGTTCTTCGACTATCTGCGGTCGAT